AGCTTTATTAGGAATTTGAAGTTGGTGATACAACTGTTTGAGCAAATATCCAACTTGAAAGTTAACCTTGGGAAAAGTTGTGTTGTGGGGGTGAATTTGGAGGAGGGAGAGATCAGGGAGAGTACTGAAGTATTGGGGTGTGAAGTCTCGGGTTGACCTTTGAACTACTTAGGGTTGCCTTTAGGGAATAATCCCATGAGAGAGAGCTTTTGGAACCCGGTGGTGGAAAGGTTCAAAAAAAGACTGGTGTCTTGGAAAAAGAACTACCTCTCTCTTGGTRGGAGAATTACTCTTATTAAGGCCACGCTTACTAATTTACCTATCTTTTTCCTGTTGGTGCTTAAAATCCCAATGAAGGTTGCTAATAGATTGGAGAAGTTAATGAGAGATTTCCTGTGGGAACCGGGAGAGGAAAAGAGGGATCATAGAGTGAGCTGGGAGATAGTTTGTAGGAGTAAGACTTGTGGTGGCTTGGGGCTTGGGAATATTAGGAGAAGGAATATGACTCTGTTGGGAAAGTGGTTGTGGAGATTCCCAGTGGAGAAGGAAAAGCTTTGGGCTAGAATAGTGGCAAGTATTCATGGGCTGGAGCATAATGGATGGGACGCTGGAATCAGAGCTAGGACCACAGGCAATTCTCCTTGGAAAGCCATTCATGACCTACTTCTAGTTTTCTCCCCTAATATCAGGTATGATTTGAATTCCGGTAACTCCATAAAATTTTGGGAACAAACCTGGGTGGGGAGTGCCCCTCTAAAGGATTAGTTTCCTTCTTTGTTTGCTCTTTCTGATTTGAAAAATGAGTCAATCTCGTCTTTTACCACCCCGGATATGAAAAATTCACCATGGGGAGTAACATGGAAGGAAACATCTGAATCTATAACCCAATCACTGTCTAGGCATGCAAAGTTCACATAGTTATCTTTTTTTTTTATCAATAAAACTTTCATTAATTCATCAATAGAAGATTTACAAAAGGAAGACAAACACGCTTATCTTCCAAGAGCAACAAAGAACCTCAAGAAAAGGAAAAAAGAAAGAGAAAAGAAAGAAAACACACTAAAGTTACAACTTGGCCCAAAAAAAGTGAATCCCTTTCTGCCCCTTGTTTAGCTAAACCGTCAGCTAGGGAATTAGCCGATCTTTTAACCCAACGTATCTTAACTTCCATCTCCCGCACAAGCCACTTGAATTTCCTTCTCTCATTATTGTACTTCCATAAGCCATTGTGATCTTTAAGCAGCCACCCTATCACCACGTCTGAATCCCCTTCAATTAAGAGTTTCCTGATGTTCAACTCCTKAGYTTTTTGGACTCYTTCCATAACTGCAAAGATCTCAGCTCTAAGGGAGTCACCCACTCCAATTGGGCCTGAGAACATGGCAAAAATGACCCCATTTCCATCCCTAAAAACACC